TGACCTCCGTCTTGAACGCCATTCTTTGTCACGAACGTGCTTGCTCCGGCGCTATAGCCAACAAATTGGCAGATAGATACTATGCCCTTAAACAGAACGAAGAGGATGGAGACCTTATTAACTTTGGAGAAATTGAATGTACGGAAACTAATGAGAACATCGAGTTGATGTTATTAGTAAGCAGATTGTGTACCAATCGTCTGTATAATGTTGAGGCATTCAAACGCACGATGTTGAAGGTATGGAATCTCACAAATAATCTGATTATTAGGCTTATTGTCCCTAATCGTTATGTTTTCCAATTTTTTCATTACAAGGGTAAAGAAAAATATTGAAGGGTAGGCCTTGGTGATGGGAAAACCATTTGCTTATGTTGAATGAAACTAATGGGGATGAAAAGCCTAATCGGGTTCAGCTTATAAATCCCATTTTTGGATTCGAGTTCAAATTTCCCTTTAAATGTCGCTCCAATACTTATATGAAAGATGTGACCTCAAAATTAGGGGAATTCATGGAGGTGGAGGAGGATGTGCTAGGGCTTGATCGGTACCGTAGGTGGAGACACCTGATGGTGTCTCCCAAAAACCCAACCCAGTGATGATTACCTTTCACATTTTGATTGACGAGTTCGGCAAAGAGTTGAAGATTCTCGCAAAGTTTCCTTAAGTCTCGACCATATTTCTAACCTTACCTAAATTTTTTTTAATCCAAATCATTCATTTCATGTCCTTAAACCCAAAATCATCCATTTCGTGTCCTTAAAATCATTCATTTAGTGCCCAAACTATAAAACCATCCAACTTGATTATTTCGGTCCATGTTCCCGGTCCAATTATTGTTTAGTTGGATGGGTTTGAAAAGAGTTTTCCAACTATATATTATAAGCCCAAATCCGACTTAAAACAAGTAAGTTATGGCCAAAATACTAAACCGAGCCCAAATCGAGCCTAGGTCCACTTTTAGTACAACCCAATGATTATATATGGAGACCAAATATTTTATTTAGGCCTTTTATGATCATATTCCTAATCCTAAGTCAGTTAGGAACTCCTAGAAGGTTCTAATCTATCCTTCCCGAAAAGATAAAGATCAAAGAGTTTGAAATCGAACAAAACTTCTTTTTTTAATAATCCTTGTTCTATTTGAATTCAAATATGTTCGGATATATTTTGCATAGAAACCCATCAGAACCAAACTCCGTACAAAACTAGATTATCTTTTGAGCCATCATGCAACGTCAGGACCATCGCACCGTGACAATTCTAAAACGCGGTGCAACAGTGTTCAACATGGCGCAACAATCCTGTCGCATTGCGTCAAAATCAGTTTTATTTCGGTCCAAATTTTGATCTTTTTCTGATCGTTTCGACTCTCTTTTTTCCTTATAAATAGAGGTCGTTTTCCCCGTTTTCAAATCAACTAGAACCATCAATAACTAGCCATAATTATCAACATTCTTCACCATCAACAATCAATCATCAATAATCCTTATCAACAACCATCATCAATCATTATTCTCAAACATCCATGTTCTTAGCCTGAGTCTAAACACACCCTTGATACTTCCAAATCATTCACAATACTTCCTTCGCGTGATTCGAATACTCCAAACCCCACTCGACGTTGTCTTCGACCTCGACATGAAAAGTTGATGGTTCTGAGGGTTTGGTCCCAAATCTATATTTCAATTCTTAATTAATTTTGTTTATTATTTACTTTATTGTTTTTTTTTCTTGAAGTTTACTAACGAGTGTATTGATTTTATAGCGAGAAGGTCAAGGCATCAAAGTAAGTAATTTAATTACTTAATCATTCGTTTTATATGGAATAGAAATCATGCTTACGATAACGCTTTGGTTTCTAGTATCATGTTTAGGATAACGCTTTGATTTTGTTATTAGTGACCTGCTCGGAGTTGTTAATAATCTGTTTAGTATCATGCCTAGGATCTTACTACTAACGATGTTTTGATGACATTCTTATGATGATGATTGTGATATCAGTCATATGTTGCTTGATTATTCTTGATTTATTGTTATTGTTTGATCACGCCCTTTTCTACAGGCTTAAAGGGAATTTGTACATGAAATCACACCTAATAAGATAATTAACTGTAATACCCCATATCTTTGAAAAGTATTTTCTAATTAATTAATTAATTAATTATTTTCTAAAAAGGGTATTTTAGTAATTTATTTTACTATTTGAATTTTGGAGCCAAGATGATATTTGAATTTTGGGGCCAAAAGTATTTTAAAACTTAGTTATTATTTTTATATTTTGGATAAGATTTATTATCCATTTATTTTATTTTAAAAACCAAATTATATATATATATATTTCGGATATTTTAATTGAGCAAAATTATATTTTATTATTTAAATAAGGAGGTCCAAAAATTCCTACTAATTGGCTATTAATTTCGGATTTTCCTAGTGTGAAAAATTTGATTTTCATAGCTAAATTATTTAGTGAATAATTGGTATTCTCTTAATTAATTATTTTATACAAAATATATTATTTACACAATTATTTTTAAACCCTTAAATCTAACAAAATATTTCCCTAAATACTACATAGGGTTTTTAAAAGCATGTTTGCAAATAAATTGAGTTTACTTATCTTGCACTTATCGTACTTAGCATATTTTGTTAATCCGTATCTCCTATTTGTTTTGGTTCGCCTTGTTTACAGTAATGGTAAGCAGTGTTGACTATTTTCAGGTGGAGTCAATATTTGAGCATATGGGAGTCCCGGAATGTTCTTCACCTAGATTAGGAATGTTGGTCTTTGTTTATTTATGAGTACTTATGACAATGGTTTCTATTTATAGCTATTATTAATAAAGAAAGAGTTTGAGTTTCCGCTACAAAGTATTGGTTTGGTTAGTAGTTTTGGTAGCCTTGCGTAATTATGCGGCGGTAATACGCCTAAGTCTATCTCTACGGTATAATTATAAGTATTATACTAGTATTTCCATAGAGGAAGATTTAGGGATGTTACATTAATAATTGGATTTAGGTCTAATATGATTTTAATTCAAGTGATCACTAATATTAAACTTGATTGTGCATTAATAATCAACCAACATAGATTAAACAGGTTTACGATTAATTTGATGTATGTATGTTGATCGAAAAGCGCGCATGAATATCAATAAGAATCAAGTAGAGGCCTATTTAGGGCGGGTTTGGCTTTTCTTAGGTCAAATTCGTACCATCATCCGTGAACATCCAGTCATGGTTTCAGACCACTATGGAGTTAGCAATCTCTGTGATTGTGAATGGGGTGTAACCTTCACAATCGTGAACGGTTTACAAGTTCCTAAAACTTGTTGGCGACTCTTTTTCTCTAGCTTCTTTTCCTTGAAGCGCCGCCATGTTTAAAAACATGACCCACATGTAGGACAGGAGTTGGAAAAATTCCCTACAGTAGGGTTCGGGTAATGATTGATATTGAGAAGCCATTGAGGAGATATCAATGGATGAAGGATAGAAAAGGGAATGAAGTGAGGGAGGAATTTAAGTATGAGCATCTTCCATAAGTATTTTGCATGTGGCACAATTGAATACTCGGAAAAAGACTGTGTGGTGGTATCTAAAGAGGGAAGATGATGAAATTGGGGTGGCGATTGTATCTTCAAGCCTCGCCAAGGAAGGGTTTTATGAATAATGTTGAAAAAAGTCTGCCAAATCACTTTGAGTAGGCGCCAACTTTTCATTACAAAGGACAATGATCCAACTCGCCTTGTGTCTAAAGAAATCACAGCAAAAGATGGCAAGGGGATGATTATTCTTACAAATAATTCTACTGGTAGTGAGGAGAGGGATGTTGCAATAAGTCAGCCTATGATACTTCTAACTGTGAGCTGAATTTGAGTAAAGAGGGAGAGGTGCAAAAGGTTACTGAAAGTGAGGGGCAAAAGGAGGTGGTAGGGAGTGTGTAGGATCACCTTTTGTTTTTAGCAGTGGCTCGATGACCTCAAAATCATTAGGGAGGAAAATAAAAAAGATGGCTTAGTCAACCGGGAAAAACATTGTAGACATGGAGACTGATGAGATAATGATTGGGTGTGCTTCTGGGAAACGTAAGGCAGATGAGGAGTGTAAGGGAGTTTTTCTTGATCTAGGTGAAGGAATACAGAAGAAAATGAAAGGGAGTTTCTATGATGTTGACTTACTCAACTAAACTAAAGTAATTAAGGTTGGCATTAACCAACCCCGTGAAGAGCAATGAAAACCTTGAGTTTGAATTGCAATGGGCTTGACAACTCATTGTCAGTTAAAACTCTCTGAGATAGGTGTTGGAGAGAGATGCCAAATATTGTTTTCATTATGCAAACAAAAATTGATTCTCATCGACTTGAGGTGATTTGAAATAGATGTGGTTTTGTTAGTGGTATTTGTTTGAGTAGTATAGGGAATTCTAGAGGTTTGGGATTATGGTGGAAGGGTGTGAACCTTGAGGTATGTTCGTACTCGGCTTATCATATTAAGGCGAATATGTGTGATAAAGGAGGGACTCCAAAGTGGAAAGCAGTTGGGGTGTATGGATGGTCGTATGCTACTTATAAAATCCGTACATGGGATCTTAAGAGGAGTATTTATGCGGGTTGTGTTTTGGCAATTCTCTATTTTGGTGACTTTAATGAAATCATGGGGATGAATGAGAAGAGTGAGGGTGTGGTGAGAGGAGAGAGACAAATGGATGGATTTCAGCAAGCTTTGGATGACTTTGGTTTGAGGGATATAGGCTTTAAAGGTAACATTTTTACTTGGAAGCGGGGAGTTTCGATTGATATTGATATATACTTTAGTGAAAGAAAGATTGGACAGATTTGTTGCCTCGGATGATTGGTGTTCGATCTTTTTTCCCTTATGCAACGGTCTTTAATAACTTCCCTATTTTCCATGCTTCTGACCATGCGGCAATATTGTTAAAGTTTAGTGAAAAAAAAATGAAAGGGGTAGAATGAACAAAATTTATCATTTCGAAGCTCTATGGCTTTCAAACGATCAAACGATGACTGTGGGAGGGGTGTGGCTGATGCATGGCAAGGCGGGGCAGGGGAACAGATGCAATGCCGAGTTTCCAGAGTTGAGCTCTCTACTTGGGTAGCTTTTACTTTTAGGGCCATTAAAAAGAAAATGAAAGATATTGAGAAGAGGTCGCATGATTTGAAAATGGGAAGGATGGATGGTCACCTTTTGGAGCAATGTAATAATATTAAAAATGAAATTAATGAGCTTCGAAGGCGGAAGGAGTCATATTGGTACTCATGGGCTAGAAATAATGAGTTGCGGGATGGTGATAAGAATACTAAATACTTTCACCATAAGGCAAGCCAACAAAGAAATCGAAACTTCATTGTCGGTTTGGACAATGAGCATAGGGAGTGAAAATCTTTAGATGCGGTTATATCTGAGTACTTTAGTGGCCTTTTTGCTACGTATAACATGTGTAATTTGATGAGGCCATGTCGGGAATTGAGTCTCTTGTGTCAGATGAAATGAAGGCAACGCTAGAGAAAGAACCGACAGGGAAAGAAATCAGAGAGGCTTTGTTTCAAATGTATTCTATAAGGCTCCGGGACCGGATGGTATGCATGCTCTTTTCTTCCATAAATTCTGGGGTATTGTAGGAAATAATATTATCAGTTTTGTGCAGCATTAGCGGCGTGGAAATATTGATTTGAATGAGGTAAACCGAACTTGCATTGTTTTGATTCCGAAATACAATGATCTGAAAAGTATGTCAGAGTTTAGACCAATTAGTTTATGCAATGTCTTGTATAAAATGATCTCGACTACTATGGCAAACAAAATGAAATACATGCTTGGCTCGGTTATTTCCCCAAATCAGAGTGCATTTGTCCCTAATCGATTAATCACAGATAATGCTCTTATTGCCTTTGAGATTTTCCATGAGATGAAGAGAAAAGAGGAAGGGAAGGAGGAGCCAGTAGCTCTCAAACTGGATATGAGCAAGGCATATGACAGGGTGCAGTGGTGTTTTCTTGAAAGAGTAATGCAAAAAATGGGGTCCCGTAATCATGGATCAATCGAATTAATTATGTTGTGCTTGGCGAGTGTGTCTTTCTCCTTCAAGTACAATGGAGGAATTTTCGGCTCTTTGACTCCATCTCGTGGGCTCCGACAAGGTAATCCTATATCCCCCTATTTATTTTTGATTTGTGCCGATGCTTACTCTACTCTGTTATCAAAAGTGGCAAATGATAAAATAATTCATAGGGCTCGAATATGTAAAGGGGCTCCAAGGATATATCATTTGTTTATTGCGGAAGACAGTATTTTATTTGCTAAGGCTACTCTACAGGAATGCAATAATTAAAATTGCCGATATTATCAGTACGTATAAAAGGGCTTCCGGACAGAAAGTGAATCTAAGCAAGACAGAGGTTGCTTTTAGTAAATATGTTGCCGCGGAAGAAAGGAGATTTTTGATATTTTGGGAGTTCGGGAAGTTGACAAACATGAAAAGTATCTTGGGTTACCTACCATCTTCGGAAAGTCAAAGAAAGCGATAATTGTCTGTTTGAAGGAGAGAATATGGAAAAAAATGTAGGGTTGGAAGGAAAAACTACTGTCGAGGCCGGAGAAGGAGGTCCTAATCAAAGCGGTTGCTCAAGCGATTCCTACTTATATAATGAGTATCTTTAGGATTTCGGATGGATTAATTGATGAAATTCACGCTTTTTTGGCTAAGTTTTGGTGGGGTTCCAACGAGTTGATGCGAAAAATGCATTGGCAAAAATGGGAGTCTCTTTGTCTCCCGAAGTCTATGGGGGGTACGGGTTCTCGGGACCTACGTGTCTTTAACCAAGCATTACTTGCCAAGCAAGGTTGGAGGTTATGTAACAATCCGGGTTCGCTGCTTCACAGTGTGCTCAAAGCAAAATATTTAAAGAATTCGGATTTTTTGAAGGTGACTAGGGGCTATGATCCTAGTTATAATTAGAGAAGTATTATTTGGGGATTGAAAGCTATTCTGTTGGATGGATTAAAATGGAGAGTGAGAAATGGAACATCTATTCGTGTTTGGGAGGATGCCTGGCTGCTTGGTGAAGGCTCACATTTTGTCCCAGGCCCTAAGGCTAACAGCAACCTCGAGCTTAGAGTGAGTGAGCTTATTGATTATGACAATGGTCGCTAGTGTCTGGAGACCCTTGATGATGTGTGTTCAAAAAAAACGATAAGCAACCTGTGATGAATGTTCCTTTGTCCAGAAATTTTCCCCCTGACAGCCACTATTTGTGGCCTACTCCTAGTGGTATTAACTCAGTCAAGAGTGGGTATTGGCTTGGGAGACTTGGGTAAACTAGATCATGGGAGCTACTTCACGGATCCAATGCGGGGGAGAGGGTAATGTGGAAACTTGATGGACCACCTACAATTAGTCATTTCATATGGCGGGCTTGTAAAGGGAAATTGGCTGTGAAGGATGTGCTTTACAATCGCCACATTAGAGATACAAAGAACTGTCAGATTTGTGGTGCTGCTGATGAAACGATTTTACACATAATTTTTTACTGTAAGTATGCTTTTGAAATCTAGAGTTGCAGCAATTTTGGTGAGATCATTGTGGCAAGTCCTAACTCATCTTTTACTGAGAAATTATGCTGGATTGCTAATGCGGTTAACAAAGAGAATCTGAGAGTGTTCGCGTCACTGTCGTGGACAGCTTGGAATTGTCGCCATCAGCATATATTTGAGGGTATGGCTAGTGTGAATGCGGTTGATATGGCTGTTGGCTTCGTCGGATTGTGTTATGACTATGGGATTTATAAAGCGAAGGTAGGTGCGCCTGTGTTGAGGAGTATTGGTGCTACTTTAGTGAAGTGGACTCCTCCCCCTCCAAATATGGTCAAGGTGAATGTAGATTCTCTTGTGCCGAATGGGTGTGGTGTTCAATTTGGGGCTGTGATCCGTGACACAAATGGGGCATTAATTGCTGCTGCTGTGAAGAGGCTGGATGCAAATTGGACGCCTAATATTGCAGAAGCAAGAGCTGCTAGATACGGCCTTGAGCTTGCGAAGAGACTAGGCTTCGACAATGTTCAGCTTGAGAGTGATGCTCTTGCTATAACCCGTGCCATTCAATCCAAGCTGAAGGGGGATGCTTCGATTCATTTGGTTTTTGATGATATGATTAGGTTGGGTGAAGAGTTTAATGCTTTTTCATGTAGTCATATTAAACGGGGTGGGAATACCGTAGTGCATTATGTTGCTAGATGGGAAACGAATTCCGCTATGGAACACATTTGCATGAATTACATTCCCCAAAGTCTTCAAACTTTAGTGGACATTGATCTAATATAATCCCCTCCCGTTTCTTTAAAAAATAAATTTAAAAAAAAAAAGGAATATTGGAGCATTACACAATTGCTATGGTTTTCTTTTATTTCGTGAATTTAATATTTATCATATTATAATTGAAGGGATAATCTGATCTAATAATAGTTATTAATCCGTTGCATGGACATTTTGGTTGCCCTCACAAGATCCATCTGCTGATGGACGACGACATCAACAAAATTTTGAAATCATTCATCTCTTTCCGATCACAAAATACTTTAGAGAAAGAAATGGAATAATAAACTATTGCTTCCTTGGAATATAATACTCCGATGCACCAAGATATCGACCCTTTCATTTTCTATAAAAATTTCTTTTTTATTATTTTACTAGTTAAATTGGGTTTTGAGAGAAAAAGTACCTAATTTTCGTAATGCACCTTACTATAATTAATTTTTTTAAAAAAAAAAGAAAAAAAAAAACTATTTTTAGTTTATGGTAACACACTATAAAATTTAACTTGTTCTAAGTTTTCTACCTAAATCTTCCATGAATATCTACCAAATACTTCAATCCATAGTCATCTCTTTTACAACTTTAAAATATTATTAAGAGTATTATTTTATATTACTAAGATCACCAATATAATGTACCTATTATCCCACTCAATTTCCTTGTTGATTTCAAAATGTAGATTTGCCCATTTCGACGAGATCAAGCCTTTAGGCACGCTGCTTTTGATACTTACCCTTTCAAATAAGGTAAAAAGTACTTTAAATTTCAAACATATATACTCATAATCTCATACATATATTCCTTATATCTTAAACATAATTGCATTATTAGGAGCCACCCCACTATAGATATTTGTTAAGAGTCATTAGCATATATTCTAAGTACTTGCATGCACGCATGCAAGCATAGTAGTATATAGTTATAGATATGATAAGGACTTGCCTAATTATTATTAGTAATGATATGTAGACTTTATTTCAACCTTGAATTTTAATTTAGCTTTGTGATATTAAAGCAAAAGCAGAAAATGAAGGTTTCAAATTGCTTATCATCTTTTTAACTAACTAAGATGAGGTCAACTTGAAAGGAACTCCCTAGATTTGACTTATTTTAATTCTTATCTCATGCACAACTTGCCTTTAATTGTGGGGTTATTGGAACATTAAGCATGATTAAAGTCCTCTAATATATTTTCAACGGTCAACAAATTTTTAGGACTTTGAATTTTATTTTTTTTAGATATATAACACAATAAATTGTTGTGGAGACTACCAAATTGGCAAAAAATATTATAAGAAATAGAGAATTTGCAAGTTACAAAAAGTGCTTTTAATGTCATTTTCAAACTAAATATGCATGTCAATTTGGTAAGATTTGGTCCAAATACCATCAACAAACTCCCAAGAAGAATCAAAATCCTAGGACTATTAACTTGCTAGGACTATCAACTTGCGTTTAGGAATATGATGTTATATTAAACAAGAACTTTTAGTTGACTTTTAAGCATCATAGTATTTACGTACGCTCATAAATTGCATAGTTGTTACATATACGTAGTATGTAAAATCTAAATCATATAGGAGTATACTTATGGGGGGGGCAATTATATCCTCTTTTAAATTTAAAAGTTGGACTATTATTCAATTACATATAAAATAAATGTGAAAGAGTAAGGGATATTTCAAGTGGTTAGAGCTCCCCTCCCGGTTCCAAGAAATCTTGGGATCGATTCTCATCACCCGCCCTTGTGGCTCTTTTAACACAAAAAAAAAATATAAAGTAAATGTTAGTTGACTTAGCTTAATTAGTAAAGGTTTTAGAAGTGAGGATACGGAGATAAAGGTATTGTTATCTTCAACTTAAAAAAGTAAGGATTAATATTATTCATTAAATCAAATCGGTATGTATAAATAAATATTCTTAGTATATTTTAATCAAAATTTTCAATTTTGATCTATTGTTTCATAAGAGGAGGGGGGGAGGATTTAATAAATTTCAACACGTAAATTTTAATCATGATATGGCCAATGGGAGAGTAGGAGTTATGTAGGCTCTATCTAAACAAAGTC